TTTTCTGATGTGTAGTACTCCATTTTGTAAATGTATTACATTTTCCTTATCCATTCTTCGATTGAGGGACATTTAGGTTGTTTCCAGGTTCTGGCTATGACAAACAAAGCTGCTATGAACATAGTTGAGCACATGTCCTTGTGGCACGATTGAGCATCCTTTGGATATATACCCAAAAGTGGTATTACTGGGTCTTGAGGAAGGTTGTTTTCTAATTTCCTGAGAAGTCACCACACTGACATCCAAAGAGGTTGTACCAGCTTGCATTCCCAACCAGCAGTGCAGAAGTGTTCCCTTTTCCCCACAACCTCTCCAGCATCAGTTGTCATCAGTGTTTTTGATTTTGGTCATTCTTTCAGGTGTAAGATGGAATGTGAGTTGTTTTGACTTGCATTTCTCTGATGACTAAGGATGTTGAACACTTCCTTAAATGTCTTTCAGCCATTTTAGATTCCTCTGTTGAGAGTTCTCTGTTTAGGTCTGTACTCCATTTTTTTTTATTGGATTATGTGATCTTTTGGTGTCTAATTTCTTGAGTTCTTTGTATATTTTGGACATTAGACATCTGTCTGATGTGGGGTTAGTGAAGATCTTTTCCCATTCTGTAAGCTGTTGTTTTGTCTTGTTGACCGTGTCCTTTGCTTTATAGAAGCTTTTCAGTTTCAGGAGGTCCCATTTATTAATTGTTTCTCCCAGTGTCTGTGCTCCTGGGGTTATATTTAGGAAGGGGTTCTCTGTGCCAATGCATTCAAGTGTACTTCCCACCTTCTCTTCTATAAGGTTCAGTGTGGCTGGCTTTATGTTGAGGTCTTTGATCCATTTGGACTTGAGTTTTGTGCATGGTGATAGATATGGGTCTATTTTCTTTCTTCTACATGTTGATATCCAGTTATGACAGCACCACTTGTTAAATATGCTTTCTTTTTTCTATTTGATATTTTTTGCTTCTTTATCAAATATCAGGTGTTTGAAGATGTGTGGATTGATAATCTGGGTCTTCTGTTTGGTTCCATTGGTCCTCCTGTCTGTTCTTATGCCAGTACCAGGCTGTTTTCAGTACTGTAGCTCTGTAGTAGAGTTTGAAGTCAGGGATTGTGTTGCCTCCAGAAGTTCTTTTATTGTACAGGGTTGTTTTGGCTATCCTGGATTTTTTGCTTTTCCAATTATAAATTCTTGACCAATAGTTTAGGCTTGTCTCCAGGCAGCTTTTACAATTTAAATCAAACCATTCCTATTAATCCATGTGCTGCCCCGAGGCTCGTTTATGACATCTATGAACTTCCCATGTTGCTTCTATAGTGTAAAAGGGACAAGTGGAGCAGGAAACCAACCAATCCCAGGGTACCCAGACTCTGAACACAGAGCCAGTGAAAGAAACACACCCTGGATCTGAGACCTGAGCCAGGGAAAGAAACATCTTTATCCCTGACCCAGGACTAAAGATAAGTGCCCTGGCTCTGAAACTAGTATCAAAGAAACACAGTTTGTCTCTAGAATAAGAGCCAGTGAAAGAAATATACCCTGGTCCTTAAGAGTCAAAAAGCTAAAAAGGGGCCAGTGAAAGAAACACAATCTCTGCCGCTGACCAATCCCTGAGCAGGGAAAAACTAATCCCTCTTCTTCCTGGGAAAAGTCTCCCTCCCCCCACACCCCCAAGAAGCCCTATATAAGCCTCTCTGCCCATTCAGTTAAGGGCTACTATTTATCCCTCCCTGGCAGAGGTGGCTACTCTCCTGGACTCCTATCAAATAAATCTTTTTTCTCAAAAGAGTCTTAGGTAAAGATCTTCATTGGCTGGTGAAGAATAGAAGATCCTGGCTGGGATGTCCCTTAGGGGACTGAGCTAAAAACCTTGCTGAGATGTTCCCTTAGGGAGCCTGAATAAGGCAGAGTAGAACAGAACCTTGCTAGGACGCTCCTTAGAGGGGGCTGAGCAAGGCTAAGCAGAAAAAGTAACAACTTTCCCCCGGAGCTGGAGGAGACTGCTACATTTCTTCAGGGGCTTCCCCTTCAGCGGAGTGTTAGCAAAATAACTTCTTGGACCAGAGAAGAAACAGATAGCTCTGCTAAGATGGTCCCTTAAGGGAACAGAGTAGAGCTCAGCTGTATTGCCTCTCCAGAAGAGCAGGATTGCTATATCCTGCGGAAAGACCATCCCCCACTGAACCCCAGCTTCAGGTAGCCTGGCTTCCCAATAGTCAGGACACCTGTCCTCCAGGGCTGAGCTGTCCTATTGCGGCTCCAGCCTCCATAGCTGTCCTATTGTAGCTGTACCCCTCACACAGTAAGAGCTGTCTTATTGTGGCTCTAAGTATAATCTAGTTTCCTGATAAATCAGGATATCTCTGCAACTCTATAGCTGTAACAAATTCCCCTACAGCTTCTTCTGCATCTGGCTCTTTCGACTCTGGTCTCTTACCCAGCATTCTCTCTTCCAAAAATTCTGCCTAGCTATCGGCCATCAGCTTTTTACTAACAGTAAGATCAACAGATTTTCAGAGTATACAGAAGGGTTATTCTACAGCATTTCCCCCTTTTTGTCTAATCAAAACGGAAGATTTTTAACTTTAACATAGTAAAACTATAACAAAACAGTTATCAAGTAAGATTTACAATATCCAATCCATTTGTATTTGGCAAAAATAGAGAAAATACTCTATTATCTATCTTATCTCTATGAATCTAAAGTTTTATACTTAATTTATATTCTTTTATCAAAACTAAGAAAAACTATAATTTTAACTATTTAGTCTTTAACCCCTTTAGCCCCTTTAACCCTGGAAGGTTATGTTACCTTACAGGAACTTCTGGCTGTCTGGATAGTCACCCTCAAGTTCTGCAGCATTGGAGCTTCCAACTTCGGCTTACAGGCCTAGTATATCTGGTAGACATTTTTGAGAAGTAGAGAACTTTGAAGGATTGCTCTACCTTGTCTTGATTGGCAGTTGCTATCTTGTGTGTCCTGATAGTCCAGTTTAGACAGTTTACTGTCAGCAATTGAGGCAAGGGCAGTTTTTGCCCAGATGGCTAGCTTTTTGCCCTACAGAAATCAAACCCCGCATGGAAGTTCTCCAGTGCCCATCTTCGTTGTTTGTTTTTGGTTTATTTGGGACAGAGCTTCTCTGCTTAGTCTTGGGTGTCCTGGAACTCCCTCTGTAGATTAGGCTGACCTCAAATTCACAGAGATCAGCCTGTCTCTGCCTCCTGAGCACTGGGATTAAAGGTGTGTGCCACCACTGTCCCATCCCCATCCTCTTCTTTGAAGTAAATTGGTGCTGTCAGAAGCACTGTTATGAAAAGTCTTAGGTTATTAAACATACTAAATGTCAAATTATGTAGTTCTCTGAAGTGTTTGAAGACCATCAGTCTATGTAAATATATCTGTTTAACCTTGAAAATATACCTAATATGACTACAAGTTTATGGATGACCTCTGTGGCTTTGGAGCCTGTCCTGGATGTAGCTCTTGTAGACCAGGCTGGCCTCTAACTCACAGAGATCCGCCTGCCTCTGCCTCCTGAGTGCTGGGATTAAAGGCATGCGTCACCACCGCCCGGCCATTGTATTTTTTTAATTATACATTACATTTTAAATGAGCTGTATAATACCCAAACAAGAATAAAAATATACATTCAGCATAACACAATTGACCTTAAATTTGTAGCAATAAATCCAAATCCATATCAATCTAAAATATTTTGAGATTAATAGTTTTTTGTATTAGATTAAATAGTCTACCCTTTTATCTCATCATTTCTATATCATATCCCACTTTCTTCCTTTAGAAAGAGATCTTTGAATTTATCTCTTTTGTCTAGCTTTTTTCCTGACTATGACTAATAACAACTTGTAACCCACCCCTTTAAATGATGACAACCATGCATAACTCAACTTTTGGGACTGTGACCGTTGTTTTCTCTAGACTGCTTCCTATTGTCTGAGGGCAATGGCATATATAGCATGCAGCTATGCTGAAATGCATGTCTAGCATGCCTGCAGCCCTGAGTTCAGTCCTAGTACAGAATATAGTGGTGGATCACTCCTGCAATCCCAGCACAGAAAACCAATATGGGGGAAGGATTAAGGTCATTCTCAGGTACAAAGAGTATGAGATCAAGCTGGGGTATATCAAATTCTGTCTCAAAGCACACAGATAAAACACATAAACGAAACAAAACGCTGAAGTTACAGCTCCTGACAAACTACACAAACGTTTACTTTCAATTCTGAGCCTTTTCTGGAGTTCTAGTAAACACAACAAAACCAAAAATCACTACAGAGTGAGTTTTTTCATTTTATTTTTGGTAGTTTTAGAAATGTATTTAAATTATATCCAACCGCCCAACCAAATACTTTTTTAAAAAAGATTTATTTATTATGAATTACAACGTTCTGCCTGCATATATACTTGCATGCCAGAAGAGGGCACCAGATCTCATCATAGATGGTTGTGAGCCACCATGTGGTTGCTGGGAATTCAGTGCAGGTCCTCTGAAAAAGCCGCCAATGCTCTTAAATTCTGAGCCATCTCTCCAGCCCCAAATACTTTTTTTTTTTTTAATAATACGCTGAGTACCACACTGATTTGCTAGTCGCTGGTTCTGTTCGCTGATTTTATTCTTTTATCCCGGCTTATTCACCTCTTCACCCAAAGGCACTCCGACTGCCAAAAGTCGGCATTCTGACATCACTGTACACCACCAAGACCTTTTCTGACTTAGGCCAACATGCGCTGAGCAGGAATTTTTACTGAACAGCGTCCGCAGCAGTGCATGCTGGGTGATGTAGTCCTGGGTCGACTACATCGCCTCTGGGGACGTGTAGTCTTCAGTCAGGTAACGAGTAAGGTTGAGACAGAACATAGAGGAAGGCAAAAGTGACCTACGGAATCAAACTCAGCTTCAAAATCGTCGTGCAGTCCGTCAAGCTCTCAGCGGAAGAGGCTAAGGCGCGTCTGAGAAAGGCGTGATGACGTCGCAGGATGCGGGCGTGACCGCCCGTGAGGGTTTGGCGGGATTTCTGAAAGTCGCGCGTCTCTGGGCGGAGTGCGCGCTGACCGGGTCCGAGGCAGAGCTGTGGTGTCCCCAGTAGCGTGGCGGGGAAGGAAGGCTGAAATTTGCTCCTGTTTTTCATAGAAGACCGACAGAGGGGCTGCGACGGGGTTCGAGCCGGGGACGGGGGTTCTTAGGGCGTGTGCACAGCCGGCCGCCGGAAGGAGCGCGCGGCCCCAAGCCTGCGGGACGGGTGAGTGTGAGCACGGGCGGACCCCCCACGGCCGCTCGGGTTCGTCAGCCGGTGGCCAGTGCTCCCACAGCTAACTTTGGGGTCCCCTCTGCACTGAGAAACGCGAGCATGGCGGCGCTGGGCACCTGCCAGGGACCAACCGGCCGACGCTAACCGACCCACTGAGTTCGTTGTCGAGAAAACCGAATCCTACTTGACGCTTTTGTTTTGAGACCCGGGCTCGCGCCCTACTCCTGGCGGGGCTCGAACCCCTGCCTCAGTCTTCCAAATGCTGGAATTACAGACTTTCACTTTCATTTCTGTGGGCCCGCGGCAGAAAGCCGAGAGCCAGAGAGAAGTGCTCAAGAGCTGTTAAATAATAGGGCCAAGGCTAACAGATTCTTGGTTACTGTGTTTTGTTTTTGTTTTTTTTTAAAGTGGAGCATGGTGGTTGGTGCCAGTGATTTTTGGAGACTGAAGTAGGAGTTCAGAGATTGTGTAAACAAAGTAAAAAACCGTAAAGTGCAACACAAATTTCTGAAGAGAATCCTGCCTTGCTGACTCACCTCTCCTATAATCCTAGCATTTGAGGGGCTAGGCAGTAAGATGGCAGTTTCAAGGCCAACCTTAACTGCTATGGAAGAGCTTGTCTCAGGAAGAAAGTGAAATAGGGGGGCTGGAGCGATGACTCAGCCAATAAGAGCGCTTGTTGCAAAGATGTTCAGTTCCGAACACCCACATGAACCACCCATGTCCATTTTCCGTGGGTCCAGTGCTGTCTAATGACCTTCACAGACACCAGGCATGCTTGTGGTACACATACATATATGCAGGCAAAAGACTCGTGCACAAAAAATAAGTCTAAAAAGAACTTTCAAAAATAGCAATAAAGTATAAAATACAAAAACCACAAGTGTGTGTATACGTGAATTATTATGAAATGAGGCATCTGTGTAATCACCAATGTTGTCATCAACCTAAAGACCTCTGTTATCCTTCCTTGTCTAATACTTTCCCCTCGCCCTAATTGCCTAACAGTGATTTCTAATACTGCTCACTAACTTGGTCCCTTTTCAGAAGACTTTTTTTTTTTTTAAGATTTATTTACTTTATGTATATGGTGCTCTATCTGTATGTATGCCAGAAGAAGGCATCAGATCCACATAGACAACTGTGAGCCACCAGGTAGTTGTTGGGAATTGAACTCAGGACCTCTCTCAGAGTTGCCAGTGCTCCTAACTGCTGAGACAGCTCTCCAGCCCTTTTCTTTTGTTTTTGTTTTTGGATCTTAGCCCAGGCTGAGATTGAACTCAATTTCCTGATTTTGCTTCCCTAGTACATCTTTTTCTTTTTTTAAGCTTCATGTAGATATACCAGTAGTAGTGAATGTTTAATTGTTGCCAACACTTGCTGTTTTATGATGGATATTTAGTAATATCTTACGAACTTTGGAGTGGGTGTGGAGGCTTCTGTTGGAGACAGCCTTCCGCAGCCCAGCCTGTCCCTGAACTTGAGGCAGTCTTCCCGCCTCAGCCTCATAAGTGCTAGGGCAGGCATGAACCACCATGCAGGCTTTTGTGTCTCCTCTTGTGGTTCTAATTTTCTTGGTTACTGATAAGATTTCATGTTTGCTCATGTTTTTGTTGTGGAGATTTCTTCCTCTTGAATTATCTAATTTTTGTTGTCTTTGTATTTCTTATTTGAACGAGTTCTTTATGTTTGATTAACCACCTCTGATTATATGTGGCAGATATTTTTTCTAGTGTTATGATTTGATTCTTCATGTTCTTGATGTCTTTGGTGGTTTGAAGTTTTATTGATTGATTGCTTGAGACAGGGTTTTAGGTTATCCAGGCTAACCTCAAACCTGAATGACCTTGAATTTCTAATCTCCTTCCAAAATGCTGGGATTACAGACATGCCTACCATACCTAGTATAAAGCAGTGCACAGCATCAAACCCAAGGCTTCCGTATGACACGCAGAGACTACCAATTGATCTATATCCCAAGGCTTAAAAGTTGTACATTTAAGTGTAGTCAGAGCTAAGGGCTTATTTCAGTAGTTATTTAACCTGTTTAGGGACCTGAATTCCATCTTCAGTGCTGAAAATAAAATAATATAGTCAGATTTTTATTTGCTCTGTGGTGCTAAGGATTCAACTCAGTGTCTTTTTCGCCTAGACAAGGACTTGCCCTGTTGCCAGCCTGTGTTTTCCTATTAGATTATTGTTGCTTTGTGTATTCTAAGAACATAAAAATATTCTGGACTGGGGAGATGACTCAGTTTTTAAAAGCACTGGCTGCTTTTCCAAAGGACCCAGGTTCAGTTCCCAGCTCACAACTGTCTATAACTCCAAATCTTGGATCTGACACCCTCACACAGACATACAGATAGACAAAACACCAATGCATATGAAAATAAGTAATAATAAAAAAGAAAGAATTCTGTGTTTTGAATTTTTATTCACTATGTAATATGGGAAGCTTGAAACTTGCTACCTTGTAAAAATACCCTTTTTTTTTTTTAAGGATCTGTTTGAATAAACTATTGTTAGCTACACACAGCCCACAGCTGTAGGTTAGACACACCTACTTTTTAAAGCTTGTTTTTCTTTGTATGAATGCTTTGCCTCTATGTCTATGTAAGTATAACACTCCTGTCCTGTGCATGCATGATCACAAGAGGGTGTTGGGTCTTCTGGAGTGATAGACAGTTACGAATTTTCATGTGGGTGCTGAGACCTGAACCTGGATGCTGTTCAAGAGTAGCAGTTGTTCTTAACCTGTGGATAGAGAGGGCCAGCTGTAATTCTGCAAAGGTTTGTTGGAAAACTAAACTTGCAGTTCGTTATTACCCAAGAGTATTTCTCTAGTGTTCATTCATACTGATGCCTGTCTGTATTTTTTAGTAATGGCTATGCAGATGCAGCTAGACGCAAATGCAGATACTTCAGTGGAAGAAGAAAGCTTTGGTCCACAACCTATTTCACGATTAGAGGTATGTTCTTAGTTGCTAAGTATTTACTTACAATGCTGTCGTACAGTCATCTATGTAATGGAACAAATTAACCATTACAGAAATTAGGTTGGGGTTTCAGGAGCTTGTCAGTTTCTACAGAAAAGCACGAGATTGCTATTAAGACTTGTAATAACAGGATTATTATAGACGTTATGACTTGTCTGGTCAAGTCTTTTGACAATTTTCTTCCTCTCTGTTTTCTCCCTAAGAGCTGAACTTTAGAAATGAAGGTCTAGTATCCCATGGTGGAATCTCAGTGCTAATTATACTAAGTGTTAAAATGCTGACAAGGGAATTAGTGGTGTAACCCAGGAATGTATACACGTGAACATGAACGTGCACATACACCACACATACACACAGCAGCAGGAAGAATATTAGGTACTAAATATGTACAGTATTTCTGTGAGTTTGCAAAGGCCCCAGTGGGAGGGAACACCTTGATCTTCTTTCTTTGTTTATATAAATTTTTCAATCTACCCACACTTCAAGACTTTGGAAATGCTGGGCAATGGTGGCACATGCTTTTAATCCCAGCACTTGGGAGCAGAGGCAGGTAGGTGGATCTCTGTGAGTTCAAGGCCAGCCTGATCTACAGAGTGAGTTCCAGGACAGGCTTCAAAGCTACAGAGAGAAACCCTTTCTTGAAAGCCAAAAAAAGAAAATAAATATATAAATAAAGACTTTAGAAACTACTTAAATGAGCTGATTTATTTATTTCTTATCTATACAGTGCTCTGTCCGCTTGTATGCCCACAGGCCATAAGAGGGCACCAGATCTCATTATTGATAGTTGTGAGCCATCATGTGTTTGCTGTGAATTACTATTACTATTATTATTATTATTATTTGTAAAAGGAACGGTGGGCTGTGTCCCACCACCCGGCTCCCAGCTAGCTTTACCCGAAATAATTACACGGAAACTGTATTCTTTTAAACACTGCCTGGCCCGTTATCTGTAGCCTCTTATTGGCTAGCTCTCACATATTGATTCAACCCATTTCTAATAATCTGTATGTCACCATGAGGTCGTGGTTTACCGGGAGAGATCCTAACCTGCGTCTGTCTCAGAGAGGAGAGTCATGGCGACTGCCTCCCTCTGCTTTCTTTCTCCCACAATTCTGTTCTGTCTACTCCACCCACCTAAGTTCTGACCTATCAGGCCAAGCAGTTTCTTTATTAATTAGCCAATGAAAGCAACATAAATACAGAAGACCCACCTACATTAATGATTATTATTTGGTTTTTCGAAACAGGGTTTCTCTGTAGCTTTGGTGCCTGTTCTGGAACTTGCTCTGTAGACTAGGCTGATGTCGAACTCACAGAGATCTGCCTGAGCAGCCAGTACTCTTACCTGCTGAGCTGTCTCTCTAGCGTTCCATTTTCTCCATCCTAGTGTCGAGCAGAGCTTTCCAGTCATTGTTCTTCCCAAAGGATATTGCTATGCCAAGGTGCTCTGACTCTGGGGCAGTCCTATCTGTTTGTCCTAGCACTGAGTGAAATAACAATTTCTGTGTGCCTGATGTGGAAAGCATTAGAAAACGCTGCTTTAAAGTTGTTTGGAGGATCAGGATACCAAAGGTCATTTCAAGTCATAGTTTGAAAGGTTAGGAGTTATTAGGTTTTTTGTTGTGTTTTTTTTTTTTTTTTTTTTTTTTGCTTTGGTTTGGTTTGGTTTGGTTTTTTTGAGATAGGGCTTCTCTGCATAGCCCTGGCTTATCTGGAACTCGTTTGTAGATCAGGCTGGCCTGGAACTCAGAGATCTTCTTGCCTCTACCTCCCATGTGCTGGGATTAAAAGCATGCACCACCATGTTCTGCTACTAGTTTAATCTCAGTTTCATCTTAACATACGTGAATATGGTGCTAGTTTAAAATTCTTGTGTGTGTACTAGTGTATGTGCATATAGGAGCCAGAGGTCACCTTTATTGCTCTGTGTGTGTACTAGTGTATGTGCATATAGGA